GATTAAATTAAGATTTATCATATTGCAACATCGTTGTCTGTCAGACAGTCTAGGATGGCGTGAATGTTAATGATGAGTGATACGAATGAAATAACGGCTGTTTTGGGAAAGGTAGTGGTGTTATATATACATATATATATATATATATATATATATGTATATAGACGTATATATAAATCACAACGTGATGATGTATTGTCTTCTCGATGATCTGTAAATAAATATAACGCGATCGAACGGCCATCATTAATCAATGATGCGCCGGTTTTTGCCCGCTTTTTGCCTGTTATATCCTAATTATGTTATACACGAGCGAGCTGCATAAAGTGACTGCAATCCATAATTATTGCGGCCGTATCATCGCACTCACTTAATTGCTGACGTTTTATCCCGTAATATATTAATACGAATAAAATTGACGATCGCATCCGAAATTTGTATAATAACCACCAAACGCAAATTTGCAATGCGTACTTTTCATTCGAAAATTATAAAGCAAGATTCAGATTACATATTAATATGTATCAACTGAATCTTCTCGTTTCAAATTGATGATTTCGTTTACAAACAAAATTTGCAATATTTGCAAGAACGTATGTACGTGTACATCAAAGAAACCACGTAAATATATATATATATGTTACCGTCAAAACCCATAATCCGTTAAAATCCAAATTTACTTAATCTAGTTAAAACTAGAATGGTTGATTAAACATAAAATTGAAAACCTATTTGGACATCACAAGATTTGGACATTATAGATCTCGTTTCGCTCCGTAAATAAGAGAAGGGGAAGGGGGGGGGGTTGGACCTCGCTACGTGTGGAAAGTCAAAAACCTATGTGAAACAATACAATTGTAGATCTCGTTTCAACTAAATTTAAAACTAATTTTAACTAATAAAATCTGGTTTTTAACGATTATTATGGGTTTTGACGATAACATATGACGATGATAAAATGTAACATTAGGATGCTGATTAAATGGATTATTTAGGAAAATAACTGAAGGAACTTTAAATCAAACAAAAACTATTAAATGAGACGAACATAATTGTCGTAGAATATATTATCGCATTATAGCGAAATGAGAATGATGTATGGGAGCGATGTAATAATCCAAATATTTATGTAATATATGTATAAATATTTAAATATTTTACGTAACAGTTGGAAAGCTGCGCTCGAAACCGCTCATGCAATAAGGCTGATAATTAAACAAAAAAAGAAATATGCGACGGGATAGACAAAGCTCCGGGTATTTCATTATTTTGTGCAAGTATTGCGCGAAATAAGTCAATATGAAATTTGATCGCGTGCTCTTTATCCTGCCGCTTGCTCGTTTCTAATAAGCAATATTGGAAGCCAAACATTATCGGATCAAATGTCGGTTTGATCATTGCTGACGTGCACTTTACAGTCCGACATAATGCAGCAGTTTCTATTTTCCCATGCCGCGTATTGCGCCGAATAGCCGTATGATGCGCGTTGTCAAATAACGGCCGAGCCGGTGCATATAATCAATCAATCACTGCGATTGTACGCATCACGGGGAACAATCTCATCTCCTTTCGATTCCTAATATCGCGCGCACGTGAATCGCACACATAAATCGAGTCCGGATATAAAATTCTGCTGCAATTTCAAGGGTATTATGCAACGTGCATTGTGTCGCATTCCTGCTCACTCGAATAAAATCATTTTCACGCGTCTGTAGCACTGAACCTTGCCGAAATTCAGTCTCTGATTCGAACGGAGTTTGGTCGACTTCTACTACTAACGCGTGATTTGACGAAAATCATCGTGCCTTATATAAGGTAAGATTCTGGATTACTCTAAAAATTCTAGATAAAAATTCATATTTTATATTTGACATCTAGAAAGAAATCAAGTAATGATAAATAATCAGTAACATATTTAATAATACTTGTAATTAATCATAAGGAATATTTTAAGGATTTAATTTCAGTACTACTTTAAATCTTTTAATTTTAATTGAATAGAATACCTAATGAAAATTATTCACAATTGGAAAATTATTCCTGGATCTAGTTGCAAATCAGGCTACCCGTAAAACATTTAATTATGCAACGTCTCGTCCGGATGGATATGTAGTAGCGATCCCTCGCGTTATCCTCAACAGGCAAATTCAAAGCTCAAAAAGCTTCGATCGTCATCTCGCGCTCTATGCCGCGCGAAC